ACTGGAGAGACAGAACAATGAGCCTGGCTAGAGGTTCTCTTGGAAATACAATTTTTTTTCTCATAGATTTTATAGTTTATTTGATTTCATTTTAGTTTTAGTTATTTTTATTTTTTTTCCTCTCAAATCTTTTTTTCCTATCAAATTCTCTTTACGTCTTAAACAAATTTTTTTTTCTAAGTAGATAAGCATAGCTACTACTTGACCTATATTTAGTAACAATATTGTTTTAAAATGTCTTTTTCAATATTAGCTATTTATAGTTTTAGTAGATAGGCTAGCATTAAACTTGCTGTATGCTTGCTGTATGCTTTGCACCCAAGAGATGTTGATTCTTTTGTAATATATACCTTGTAATATATGAATAAACAGAGAATTGGTGTTTATCTACTTAAAAAAAATAAATAAATAAATAAATAATTTCAATCTGATTAAAATAATAATAATAAATAATTTATTAAAAAATATATTTGTAAAGTTTAATATAATTGTATGTCGTATATATATATACCAATTAAATAATTTTTTTACTTTATTATTAAATATTTAATTAATTATAATATTTTTAATTTAATAAATAATTAAAGCCTAACAATATATTAATCCTAATATAATATAGAGCCTGAATTCTTAGTTTATTAAACAAACACATCATAGTCACCGTAATAACCATATACGTAATTTGGGCTAGTTACTAACTATATTTGTACGATTAAAAACAATAAACAACAGCCTCAATCGTCCCAAATAAAGTATTGATTCCTTGATCGATTAGAAGACGTTTATAGTATTTTTTATTTACCGCAGTAACGGAATAAATCGTGCCGTTTTTAATGTTTACAAACTTACTCAATGACAATAATAGATAAGATCTACTGCAGATTAACTTTATTGGTTCGAATTTATATTGAAGTTGTTTGTTTGCACATAGTTCAATATACTTCTCGCATTCTCTTTTGAACATTGTATATTTGATTAGCATTTTTCTTTGACCATGATCCAAACGAGAGGTCGTGGTTTGATACCTGAAAATATTTGTGGTCACGATCCTTGGGTATGTAGTTTCTTCAAATTGCTCGAAGCTGCGCAGCGAGCATATTTCAATTCATATTGACTTTTAAATGATCTCTTAGGGACCATGGGAAACTTACACATTTACAGACTGTTTCAGAGAAATGCAAGCAATACTCTTTTTCAAATTTTGTCAAATTTTACTTTTATATATGCTGATTCCTTTATTTTGGCAACTTTTTTTAGTGTAATTGGTGCTGGAATTCCATCACTATATTTGGTTGGATCATTAGCTTTTCTCATAAGTGCTTATGTTCGGCTGAGGCGTCAAAAAGGTTTAAACTACGAACGGTTGCTTAACAATCGATCAAATTCGAATTATGGATCGATCGAACAAGATGCTGCAATGAGTGATGATGATTCGACTACTGGTGATGCCGATAATGTTTCGGATGAAACTCTCGTGTCTGATCTATGTAATAGAAATAGTGTTTTTGATTATACACGGCTGTTTATTAGTTTAGTCATATTGGGACTATTTTGCTTCCTTGTTTCGATAAGATGGAAAGATTATAGTAAAGAAAAACATGAATATTACTGGGTCATAACTCCTGTCATAGAGGTCGCAATTTGGGTAAGCGATTGGTACACCAGTATAACATTTTCTGAAATTTATAATATTGATAAAAAAATTTTTTTTTATAGATGTATGCGATTTTCTTATCCATAGTTAATGTGAAATCAAAACAACGTTCTGTACTCCATATTCGTGGACATTTGGACATACTTTACTTTCTTACTTTTACATTTTTCCTGATCAATATTCATTCATTTTATTTGAAATTCGGGACAGAAATCACAGTCGAATATGCATTTACATTATGTATCACAAGCTTTTCATTCATGTTAATTTGCATCTCTATCTTGGAGCCACCTGATGATCCAGAGGAAATTTGTTCCAAGCCTAACTCTGAGGTATTTAATCTTTGAACTTTTATTATTGCATTTGCAGATGACCATATTATTTACAGAATAATTCCTTTTATTTTTCCTAAACATTGTTTGATATTAAAGGGTCGATATTTATCACCTGAAGTGAAATCATCACTTTATGATAAATATACATTTTCATGGGTTAATCCATTGATCAAAAAAGGATTTCGAGAAACACTCTATGAAAATGATGTCTTTGAGCTCCCTTACCTTTGCCGAGCAAAGAATGTTGTAAAATCTTTCCGAGAGTTTCGTCGATCTTTTGTTGTATCTCTTTTCCTCACATTTCGGAGAGACCTCGTGAGGCAATTTTTCTACGCCATGGTGTGGACATTAATCGTTGCTTTTGCGCCGCCCTATTTTCTCAAAAAAATATTATTGTATGTGCAAACTTATCCAAATAATGAAGTGTCTCTCATGACTGCATATATGTACGTTGTGGCATTATTTCTGGGGACTTTAATACCAAGTTTATGTTTCCAACAAGCTCTATACATTGGTCGACAAATTAGTATTAAGACACAGGTACTTAGTTATTATTTCATCAGAGAAATTATAAAAGGCATTGATATAATATTTAATTAGTTTGGTTTATACCTTACAGGCAATAATTATTGGAGAGGTATATCGTAAATCCTTATCTAGGAAGGATACTTCTGGTGTCACCGATGACGAAGAAACAAAAAATAAAACTGGGAAAATAACAAACCTCATGTCTGTTGATTTACAAAAAGTTTCGGAAATATCAGCATATGTTTTTTATGGTGAGTATCTACAGATGCCCATGCATTTCGGATCCAGTAGTTTCTTGACTAGTAATAATAATTTACATACTCCATAGGATATTGCTATCCGTTACAGATCATAATTACTATTTCATATCTATATTCATTGCTTGGAGTATCTGCACTTACCGGTGTGGTCGCAATTATTTTGACTTATCCTTTGCCTGCCTTGCTTAACCAACGTTTTCAAACAATCCAAAAACGTCTTATGGCCGCGACAGATAACCGTATGGGCGTGATGAATGAGGTTAGAAATGTGCAATTGATTATAGCTAGATTCATTAAGATCAACCACATTTACGTTTTTTATTTTGGCGGTAAATATTATTATGAGTAGCTACTTCAAGCTATCCGGATTATTAAATTCTTTGCGTGGGAAAAACAATTTCGCGATAAAGTCATTAGCGCACGAGAAAATGAGTTGAAAGAAATTAAAAGTCGGTTGATGCAATGGATTTATATTGGAAACGTTTGGATGATTTTACCGCTGATCGTGATGCTAGCTGTTTTTATGACATACACCAAAATTTTGGGAAATGTAAGCAAGAATTTTTAATTTGAAGCATGTTTTAGTTGAGTGCATTGTTAAACTTTTATTATGCCTAATCGTAAATTTTTCTTACGATATAGGATTTGACAGCACCCGTTGCTTTCACAGCCCTTGCTTTATTTAATATCCTTCGACACGCACTTGACGAAATTCCTGCTACTTTGGTAGCCTTTATTCAAGGTTAATACGATCAAACGAAAATGATTCAAGAATTGAATTATAAATTCTAATTATATTTCTTTAATATATCAGCCAAAGTTTCGATCACTCGCATTTTGAATTTCTTGGGCGAACCTGAAGTAGTGCGTCAAAATGATCAAGATTCAAACATCGACGATCCATATATTGGTTTCAAAGATGCGTCTTTCCAATGGCCTATCGGAGGCGAGTCATCAGATGATCTTTCAGATGTAACTGCGGTAAATTCATTGAACAGATTCACTCTGTTGAATTTGAATGTCTCCTTTCCAGTGGGACGGTTATCAATAATCTGTGGACCTACAGGCTGTGGAAAAACAAGTTTATTGATGGCTTTGTTGGGAGAAATGGAGTGCATTTGTGGTCGTGCCTTTTTGCCTAGGAACACTACAGATTCTTCAAGGGTTTTAGGCGGTGCACCTAGCGGTGTTGCCTATGTTGCTCAGACTGGTAATTTTTTATTGTTTTGACACTCTTAGTATATTCAGTAAAATACTTGATCTTACATTGTCTTTTGTGTGAATTCTATAAATAGCTTGGCTTCAAAATGCCACCATTCGAGATAATATTCTTTTCGGTTTACATTACGATGATGAAAGGTATAACAAGGTTTTGCAAATATGTGCCCTTAATAAAGATCTTGAGATATTGGAATTTGGAGACAAAACCGAAATCGGTGAGAAGGGCATAACCCTTTCGGGTGGACAGAAGCAACGTATTGCTCTGGCAAGAGCTGTTTATTCTCAAGCGAAGGTCATTATAATAGACGATTGTTTATCGGGTAAATTTTTTGTTTAAAAATTTATAGTCGTTTCTTCCCGTAATTAATCACATACTTATTTGTGTGCCCTCCATAAAGCTGTCGATTCTCATACAGCAAAACATATATATGAGCAATGTCTCATGGGAGGTCTAATGAAGAATCGAACTCAAATTCTTGTTACACACCATGTTGGACTTTGCATACGTGGAGCTGCTAAGGTGGTAGTAATGAAGGATGGTCAAATAATAGGAGAGGGTTCTTCAGATAAAATATTGAACACTGGACTCTTAGGAGAAGTTGCATTAAATGATGATGGGGATAAAGAGGATATTATTGAGAACGTTATTGACAACAAGGGTGCGGATCTTCAAAAACGTAATCAGTGTGCGCATGAAGGTGATGGTAAACTAATAAAGGAGGAAACGAAGGCCGAGGGTACAGTTGAATGGAAAATCTATAAGCTTTATTTTAAAGCTTCGGGCGGATTTTTATTCTGGTTGTTTTTAATCTTGATGTTTATTCTTACCCAGTTTTTACAAGTCAGTCAAGGTACGTACTTATCAAACGAAAATGATTTTTGTTAACAAATAAATTTACTAGTTATTCTGACCAATTTTCCTAGATTGGTGGATTCGAGAATGGACCAAAGCTTACGATACCATAAGTGATCTAATTCGCGGGTTCATTTTATCAATATCTTCCACTATTTCTTCATTGGATGTTACGTCCTTTGTATCAGACAGCTATCTGACAGAAAAGACTTTATCGTTGCCTCAGCTTGCATTATCTAGCATTAATTCACCTTCTGGTCATAAGCCTCTGTCGTCTAACATGAGTGCATTTGACCAGTCAGTTAATGTGGATTATTACATCGGGATCTATGTTTTGATAGGATTGTTCACCACGGTCATAGCGACGATTAGATCATATTGTATGTTTATAGGTTCTTTAGCAGCATCCAGGAAATTACATAACGCTATACTGGATAGAGTGTTATTCGCGAAAATCAGATTTTTTGACACAACTCCAATAGGTAAACCCTTTCTTTTTAGAAAATATATAAACATATTGTTTATCTAACATTTCTTTACATAATTTAAATTGTAATCTATCATTTGTTTGTAACTTAAAGGACGAATAATGAACCGATTTTCAAAAGATATGGAGACAATTGATCAAAACTTATCACCTGTTGCAATGTTCCTTCTTTACTCTTGCGTTGCCACCATGTCTGTAATATTCGTGATCTCCTGCGTAATGCCGCAATTCTTGATAGCAGGGTTATTCATTGCTGCTGTATATGTACTCATTGGGACATATTACCTCTCTACTTCCCGTGATCTGAAACGTAAGTGACAATTAAGATATATTTTTAAATGTATTGATTCATGTTTTTTTTAACGACGGTGTTGCGCCGAATTTTTAGGCATGGAATCTGTATCTAGGTCACCAATATACGCTTTATTTGGAGAGGTAAAAGATATTCTTTAAAGTTCCTTTTTTCATTTGTATTATTTTAATAATTTTGTATTTATGTTTATTATTTTAAAGACAATTACTGGTGTGGCTACCATAAGAGCATTTGGAGCAGAGACAAGATTGATGAAAAGAATATTAACTCTAGCAGATGCAAACAATAGGCCATATATTTTCAATTGGGCGTGTAACCGTTGGTTAAATACTCGTGTGGATGTTGCTGGTGGGCTTGTCAGCTTAACTACAGGCGTCATAGTTCTCTACAGTCTTTCGAATGGAATGGATTCCGGATTAGCGGGTTTAGCACTTATTTATGCCCTGAATTTTACTGGGCATATAATATGGGTGCTTCGAATGTATGCGGTGCAGGAGATGAACATGAATTCTGGTACACATTCTATATGTAAAACTTTCATATATCCTTTTCCACTTTCTGGTTTTAAGTTATTTATTTTGTTTAGTTGAAAGGGTTCAGGAATATTTGACATTAGAAGAAGAACCTCCAAGGATCATTAATAATAGTCGGCCACCTGCTAACTGGCCATCCAGAGGGGATATTTTGGTGGATAATCTTGTGATGCAATATGCGCCAGAAAATCCCCCAGTGTTGAAAGAAATCTCATTTCATGTCCGTCCTTCAGAGAAAGTAGGCATCGTTGGAAGAACTGGTAAGAATTTTTTATATTTAAGGAAACCGATTTGTCAATCTGATTCTTAGAATGTCAATACGAATCACGTATCTTTTACATGATCAGGATCAGGGAAATCCACGTTGGCCGTGTCATTCTTTAGGTTCATGGAACCGACCTCTGGCAGAATTTTCATTGATGGTATAGACATCTCTACTCTTGGTCTATTTGACTTGCGGAGTAGACTCACTATTATACCACAAGACCCCGTACTTTTCAGTGGTACTTTAAGAAGTAATTTAGATTCCTTTGGAGAATATGAAGATTTCGAATTATGGAATGCACTTCGAAGAGCTCATCTAATTGGAGAAGATACTTTAGTTCAGGAAAATGGAACAAATAAAGATTCCAATAGTCCCACATCAAATGAACAATCACAAAATCAAATAACATTGACTTTAGATTCTCCAGTTAGTGAAAATGGTAATAACTTTTCTCAAGGTCAAAGACAGTTAATTGCACTAGCAAGAGCACTAGTACGTAGATCTAAATTGATAATAATGGATGAGGCAACGGCGAGTGTAGATTTTAAGACAGATCGAATGATTCAAGAAACAATACGTCAAGAATTTGACGATGCTACCCTGTTGTGTATCGCACATCGCTTAAGAACCGTAGTGGATTATGATAGAATTATAGTATTAGGTAAGTTGGTTAATATTCACCCACTCCTTTATGTTATATTAATATTATCGTTCTTTTTATTTATTCAAGACTCTGGGAGATTGATGGAATTTGATCATCCCTATATACTATTGCAAAATACAAATACAATATTTCGAGGAATGTGCGAGCGTAGTGGAGAGTTTGAAGAATTATTGGAGATTGCAAAGAGGAAATACGAACAGGACAATAGGATATAATACTGCATGAGGAACTTTATATATATATACATTTATATTAGTAATGTTTAACTTTACAAAATATAGAATATCATGTAAAATAATAATTCTCAATGATAAACTATCTACTAGAGTAACATCGTACTGTACTAGTTCATGATATATTAGATGGGTTTTATTTAGTAAATCGCCAATTTGAAATAGTCACCTGGCGCGCGTTCAATATTGCGTAGCTTTGTTTTTTTGTGAAAAATTCGTTTGAGACGATAAATAGCAACTAATCATAGCAATGTTATCGATTTACGTTATTCGAAGTTATTTGAATAATCGTAATGGCGCAATAAACGAATTTCATTAGAAAATTTATTATCCTTATGGCTCTCGGGGCAATTAAAAAGTTTCAGGACCAGCATCTTGTGTAATTAATTAAATGCATTCATGATCTTTTTCATGCGTTTTTCAAAATAGACAAGCGATCGTTTTTCGAAGGCTTGGCTTGGTCAGATCCGATTAGATGTTGGTAAACGATACATGTGCCTTATTAAGAAAAGCCTCATCTGGATAAACAAAGAAGTCCATAGACAGTACTTGTCAACAGTACAATCGTATATCAATTACATTATACAAAAAAACTTGAATAAAGAGAATAAAAATACGTATGCCTTGTGCAGGTTAACAAATTATCTCGATATTTTTATACATACTGTATGAAAAATTCTAGATTGATAGATGTATCATTTATATTGTGTATGTGACATCAAGCAACTTTATATGACAAATTAAATTGTTTTGATCTTGGAACAAAGCACCTCAAATATTAGTTTATATACAAATTATATTATAAATGTAAATTTAGTTTAGGGTACTCTAGAATTTTTGCATTTGCTATAACTTTATTTTGCCGGACAGTCGACAACATTAGCTAAAAAAAGGTAATGAAAAAACGAATTAATTATTTCATCACAAAACTGTTTGTGAACTTTTAATTTAGAGACACTCACCCAGCGGATCGTTAGGTCCCGGCGACTTAAATGGGTTCACCTGTATATTTCTAACCCCAGTATTTCTCATAATAATATCAGCCATTGAAACATTTTGTATCATCGCCTTTTCCTCATCAGTGTAGGTACTTCCCTCGTACCAGAATCGATCCGCAATACGTTTCCTATTGAACTCATCCTTCAATATGTTCGTAATCGTCGGTGGTAGTGGTTGAGTGGGTGCTAATTTTGATTCGGCAAACATCCCGATAATAGCGTCAATTCGATTTACCTTGCCGTAGATGGTTTTGAGGCGTTCAGCAACCGTTATGTTATTGGTAATTAGTTGAAAGCACGCGAGAGGGTCAGTGGGAGCTGAAATGTCACATTGAGAGTTGGCGTAGATATCGCCGGCCGGGTGGTATGCGGCTCGGTAAGAGTTATAGTCTAGGAGACCCAGTAGGCGACCTAATTAAAAGGTTAGAGGTTGGTATTATATAATTTACGCGAAAATAATGATTGTTTGTGTGACAAGACGCGTAATATCTAATTCACCTCTCCCGATATCAACGGAAATCATATCAGTTACTCCCGGAATATTCCGCAACGAGCTCGACACCATCAAATCAAACTCCGCCGCTGTCCCCCTCAACATGCTCAATATAACATTATCCACACCATCCCCATGCGTTCCTGATGCCAAGGACAACATCAAGATAGGCGTATAATCCAATTGTTTTTTCGTATAATTCTGTGGGTTACCACTTTGAGGAAATCCAATAGTCTTGCCCACGAAATAGAACCTGTTTGGGTGTGAGTCGGGAAATTGAAAATCTGGATGTATCATGATTGGCTTCCCAGTGCATCCATCAATCAAGTCATACGGTCGCACGTTCGAATGGCCGTATCGGAACGCAGCACCTGCAAAATGCGTTGATGTGTCAATGTACACTGTTTCATCGTATCCAGTGTATGGTGGCATTTTAAATCCTAAGACAGCAGGTAAGTATTCATCAAATACGATATGTTGATATTCTGCGATGACAATACGTCTTGCTTGTTGAAATAAATTTTCCTTGTTGTTTTTTAGTTCCGGTCGATTTTTCAATTGATTTACCCAGTAATTGTGTTCGCGAATCCAGATAGTGTGAATCAAGCATAGTTGAATATTCTCAGAACAACGCAAGTCACCGCTGACCAATGCTTCGTTACCATTAATAGCGGGCGGTGTCAAGTCGGCTACCAAACTGGTTTCATTGAAACTCGGGGGAACTTGACGGACGGTGACATTTTTAAGCCCTTTATTGTAAGCACCGCCGTTCCCTGGGCGGTCTATGAGCAGGAGATAGGGGCCATCACGAAGTTTTGAATTCGTGTCATCGTCATCACCGTAGATGTTGGATAGGTCGAGATACGAGTTTGCTTTGTTGACGGGGTATAAGGTGCCGTTAAGCACTCGACCTAAGGAAAGGGACAGTGTCATGTCTTAAAAAGAGATTTGGTTAGATAAGGAAATGCTATCAGAAAGATAGGAATTGATTCATATTACATTATAATAACATGTTTTACTCACATGGATTCTTTGTTGGGTTAAATAAATTATTCGCGAAAACTGTGTCATTGGTTACATTGCCTATAACAATTCCCGGTAATCCATCTGATAGAGCCGCATTTTCAAGGTCGTGATTAATAAATTGACCAAAGAACTAGAAAAAAAACACCGATAACGATTGTGGTGAGGTGATGTTCTCTATTACCGTGAATTCACGCTATTGATATGAAAAGACACATACGATTTCAAATATAGACTTTCTGGTGCTTGACAAAATATCATCGGTCAACGGTGAACCGGAAAACACAGGTTCCTGACCACTATCGGACAGTGTGTTGGATATGAACCTAGCATCGACCTTTGACAACGGCTCACCAGAAAAACTATCCCCATACATAGCTGGAAAATATCCACGGTCATAAACGCGATTTTTGGTGCCCCAGTTTGAATGCTTTAGATTATTACAAGAACCATCGAAGGTTCGTATGGTTAAATCCGTGCCATTACAAGTCCTAAGGCTTACTACAGGCGGTATAACAGTTGATTGTGTACCAGAACCGGGGTCATCACTAGGCGAGTATTGAGAGTTCACGAAGGGCCGTGTGAGGATAAAGAAGGCATAGAAGCACGAGAGTAAGTGGAATAGATTTGCGATTACCATAATCCTACTCAGGGATGATACTGTATTTTGGTTCGGCGATGAGATTAGAAAGTCTAATATCTTGTTCTACTATACTATTAACAAACAAACCAAAAAAAAAAAAAAAATTCTATGCATCTAAAATAACAGGTCGAAAATGTTAAAGAAAATTATTGCTACTGAAAAAAGGAAGGTCATGCCGACGAGTTAATTACATACTAAAAATACACAATTTCCCCTCGAAATTTGTTGTCGCAGAGTTCGTGTAAATTCGCTTGATATCATACGTATCCATTTGAGGGTTAGTTAGGATTAAAATTTGGCTAGTATAATAAACAAGGTCGACGTTAGATCCCTAGTCGGGAAGTTTAATTAATGGATGGGATTGGTCAAAGTTTTAATTTTACCTTGATTTTTTTTTGATATTAGATCATTAGGGAAGTATTTTCAATATGCTGTATATTATCCTGTCGTATCTATGCTAACTCGATTCATTTTTGTCTCATTCCAGATTTTTCATTCTCGGAAAAAGAGGTCTAACCGCATACAGTCAATACTCTGTTGACTGGGTGGTACTTCATTACGTATAATGAATTTTAAAAAGATTCTGATTCTGAATTGCGATTCTGATTACGAAATTATGATATAAATAACAGTTCCATTCTTCATTTGTCGTTATTTTATTCAAAAAAAATATTTATTTGCCCATACATATATTAAGTTAGAGCAAATTTTTAAAAATGCACAAAAAGTCAAATATACAAAAAAATTTTTACGACGCCCTCAATCTTTAGAAGAAGCGATTATTGGATATCCAAGATCTAAAAAGAATAAAGAAAAAAAAATTTTCAATAAAAACAATGTCACCATTTAAAAATACACGTGTAATTTTTTACCTGGTCCCTCGTTAATTGGCACAATCCCGGTAGGATTGATATTTCTATGACTTTGGTAATAATGATTTTTGATATGATACATATCTACAGTATCCGAAACTGGGAGAAGACGAAATTATTTTAAAAAGGATCCTTCAAACTGTCATTTAAAAGAATCTTTCTCTTACGTTTCGGCATTTGGTAGATCCTTCTCGCCCAGCGCAAAATATTGGGATAATTGTGCTCGATGGATTTCAAGTTACACTTGAAATGCCCATGATAGACAGGGTCGAACCTATCACGCTCAAATTTTATTGTTATGTGGGTGAGATGCAAAGATAGTTAGATAGATGTATACTGCATACCTGACAATGGTGACCCAGAGTCTAATGTCTGCTTCGGTGAAGGTGTTTCTCACGAGAAATTCATTTTTAGAAAGGATTTCTTCCAATCGATCCAACGATTTAAATACTGGAGTGATATTGTTATCATCTGCTCGCGGTAAAAAAATAATCGTTCAATTCAAAGAACGTGAACGAGCTTCTTTCTTCTGCATGGATTGAAGTTTTCGCACTCACATGCTTGTTGGGTGGTCGCAAACCCGCATTTATAGACACCGTTGTTCACTGTGTCGTAGACCCATTCATTGGTCTCATCAATTTCCGGGCGTAAATGTTCCGGATAATAATTGATGCCCTTGGTTTCGGGAGTAAGGTCGTCAAACACATCATTAAACATGCGGATTATGTCACTGGATTCATTGCTGACTATATAAGAAACAATATTTCTTTTTAATATCAATTAATGTATATGACCTTCACAAAACAGTCTTACCGATCG